TTATGAATATAATTTTTTTAAATGAAGTGTGATTTAGAATATTTCGAATATAAGCCGCACCCCAGTTTTCCTCTTGAATTTTTGGCAAAAAATGTGCGGCCTATACATGCGTAAATACGGTATCTTACTCATGAACCAAAATGTGTTACAAGTTCTGCCCTTAGCTAATTTGGCCTTTAGCATATTAACAGATGTCATTAGACGGGGTACTGATAATCACATGGCCATAGCCGCAGTCTACACAACGCATCGTCTGGCGCAACCAAAGAGCACATTCCCACCAAACTGCAGATCCAGCCATCTATCTGATTCTCAGACAGCCAAATGACCGCGGTCTCTCACCTTCTTCGCCTCTGGTAAGGGATAGTCTTGAGAGCAGCTGACTTGCCAACTCAACTCCCAAAGGTCTCAAGAGGACCATGGTGCCAAATATCTGCCATAGACCCGGAAGTGTCAGGATATCAGAAGGGGAAACCTGACTAAGAGCATACACTATAAAATATTGGAGAGAAAATGTGTAATGTCACGAGCTCTGCATGCTTGTTCTTGTTCTCTGTATTCTACTGGGAGAGACTGGAAAATATTTTCGTGGGATTGACCTCCAGTGTCATTATATTCATATACAGTTTATTGGTGTTCGTGATAGAGGTTGAAAAGTTATTCCCCGGAAAGAAGAGACAGATGCTAACTGAGGTATGTGCTATTCAATAACGGCTTCTATATTTCACGGTTTCGATGTATCTTTTGCTCCAGTGCACCAGACAGTTGAGGTTATATTGTCTGGATTATCCAATCAACACCGTTCCCAATTACTAAGCGGCCATGTTTATCTGACTACAAATTCCACATTAAACTTCCAGCATCTGGTAAAATCGCAAATTCGATTTTAGGTCTCGAAGTCTAATTTCTGTCCATCCGTCTTGGAATATGCACCCTTTAAAAAAGCAGAGACTGAAGTGTAATGATGTTATTAATTAATGGAAGTAGTTATGCTATGGATAAAATTAACCTCTTGGTGTAGAAACAGACTATACCATTACTACGTAAGCATCAGTACTCCATACATTACACTGTCGCGTGCATCAGTGACTAAGACGCGGGTTTGGATTGGTAATTGGATTTGTTAACAACTTACAGGTCGTAACTACAATTAATTATTACATTATTGCTGCTTTAGACAATGTAAAATCACTACACACTAATCTCTTCAGTCTGTCTGCTCTAGTGTTCACGGGTTTATAACACGGGAACTATAACAGTCTCATTGAATCACACACTCTAAATACTAAACACAAATAGAGTCTTCTAATCACATTAAGTCTTCACAGGCCAACTTCTAGTTCCTCTTCAACTTCGAACTTTCCGTGGCTATCTCCTTGCTTGCTTGCTTGTACGCGTAGTTCTGCCGCTATTATTCGTAACTTGTGTAACTGTTTTACTTACGAGTATATAGCTGAGGGACGGACTTGGACTACTAGTATACACATATTAAGTGATCGCTATCCAGCCAGCCTATTGGGGCGTCGGTCGAATCTACAGAAAACATATGTCGCGTGATCATCACCCAACTCTGCGTGACGTCACCGCGGACACGGAAAACACAGCCTCCTCTATTGTTGCGTGCGCGTATTTCGGACTTGGCCTGGCAATCGATGGGTATTCACGTTACAATATTAATATGAAACAGAAGCTGTATTACAACGCGATATTCGAGTTTCTTCCACATGGCTCATTATGTCGATCAAACACTTTTGTATCTTCATTACGGGGTTGCATTTGAGACTAGCATCTAAATATCAGAAGTCTTAATAATAAAACCACATAACACTGCATTACTCTATGATAATTACTTGCTAAAAGCAATTACATATTTTTCATGTCGAAGAAGCAAGTTAGAGAGTATATGGTGATCACATAGGGTTGGATTCCCAGAGATTTTTGTCTAATTCAGAGCGTCTAGACCGGCTCTGGGACCTGTCTAGCTTCATATACAATAGGTACCGGGGTATGTCCGCTTGGGAGTAATGCGGCTGAGGCGTGAAGCTGCCTACTCACCTTCATCTAGTGCCGAGGTCAATACTGCCGGAGCTACACTTCCACTCCTCCATGTCTTCACTGAACCTTGCTTAACTGACTAAACACAGGGACATCTTTTTTTTTGCTTACCTATTGTTCTGTATTGGCGCGGAACTTTTTCTCTCATTCTGAGGGCAGGATTTCACTAAGGGTGTCTGGGGACAACGTGATGGAGAGAATAAGTGTCGAGGACCGAAGAAATCTGCATGAGGAGGATCTTGGCTTTCTACTACTTGGATGATTAAATCAAGAAAGAAGAGATGGTCTGTTTACAGAGTAAGCATGGAGGGATCGAAATGCTTGAGTGTTTGAAGCAAATTTATATACGTTTGAAATGTTACATAATACGAGAGACGTGCAAGATTGGGTAACTACAATGTCAGTACACACAACAGAAATATAGACTGTAAAATTGTGAACCTCACAGAACTGGCTTAGGACAGGGGAAAATGTTGAGCTTGATGATGGCTTATTTGGATGCGAAATCAAGGTGTTTTAAGACATTAATATGACTCAACTGCTCATATACAAGAGTAGTGGCTGCATACAGAGGTACATTATTTCTAAAATTGTAATTCAAGGAACACAGTAACATTATTTGTTTCGTGATATGTAAGGAAAAACATAAACGACTTACAGTGCCTAGTTGCTATATGAAGAATTACGATTAAAAATTAAAAACAAATTGATAACTTTAAAATTATTTGTATTAGTTCACAATGACAATAGTCATTGCTGATTTCAAGGCATGTGAGAATTTCATTATTATTCTCTTACGATCACGTGTGGAGTCCATGGGTCCATAAAATCCACACATATATTTCGTTACCCGTTTTTCTTGCAATAGGTCTACTGGTGAATCAAGAATATGTATCAGTACCTCAGTAATTAGAAATTAATTTTTTTAATTCGCTTAGTGGGGGGTGGAGTCCAACTGGGTCCACTAGGCACGGCGGCCACTGATTGGCTTATTGTAGCCTGCTTCGGGAGATTATGATAGAGAATTTGGTGGAATGAAGATTGGCAGGGGAATCCGAAGTACTCGGAGAAAACCTGCCCAGCGCCACTTTGTCCACCACAAATCCCACTTGACCAGAATCGGGATCGAACCCGGGCCGCCGCGGTGGGAAGCCAGCGACTAACCGCTTGAGCTATGGCGCGGCCTACATATATAGTAACTACTGCATTATCTTTATACAGCTATATAAGCCACTACACATCAGCAATACATGCATTTCCTAATGAGCCCTTGGAGCGGTGAAGACCATTACATATACACGTACCGCAATAGCCGTGACGTCATTAACTCTGACAACACACAATTTAAATTACTTTTCTCATTAAATTTTACTTTTTCTCAGAATTATTAACTAACTACCTCCACGGAGCTAAGCCCTTCTTGACAAGCTGCCAATTGCGCAGATATTTAAGGATTTCCCAATATTCCATGGAGGCCGGAGGTCACAAGAGTACTCCACTGGTCCCTATCCCGAGTCAGATCCATCCAGTCCCTACCACCTTATCCTATCTCGCTAAGATTCATTTTTATATTATCCATCCGCCTACTTCTAGGTCTTCGTAGTGGTCTCTTTCCTTCTAACTTTCCAACCAAAAATCCTATATGCATTCCTCTTCTCATCATGCATGCTATATACTGTGCCCATCTCATCCTCCTTGATTTAATCATTCTAATTATACCTGGCGAAGAGTGCTCAGTATTATTATAGGAATAAAGCAGAAGCACCCTCTAACAGAACCTTAGACATATGCATAATTTAGCAACATCATCTCCCCCAAATCACTGTGTAATGAAACATGAATATTTAACTCGTGGACAAATGTCAAACCTAAGTTGGACGGTAAGAGAAAGTTTACGTGAAATAAACGTCCAAGGAACGTTGTGGATCTATAAAGCAAAGTTCCTTAAGCGAAGGAGGAACGTTCCTTGCTTGTACTCTGGTGTGCAAACTTAAACGCAAATTGAAGCATCGCTGTGGGAAGGAAAGGCAGTCAAGAAGTCGACAATGCACTTTTCTTTTCTCCAGGGAGCTGCAGCAGAAGACGCGTCCCGTAGTGGAAGAACACGACACGACTGCGCTTGTAGGAGCTACAGTGATGGACGGCTACATGGAGCAAGCATTAGCAGTATCCTTCGCCTTCAGCACAGATTGTTGTAGCTTGCTGAAGAGGGTGGGGATCTGAC